GAACACCCCTGCTGCCTTTATGGATATGATGAATCGGGTGTTTAAGGAATTTTTAGATCAATTCGTGATCGTTTTTATAGATGATATATTGGTATACTCGAGGAGCATAGAGGAGCATGAATTTCATTTGAAACGAGTGTTGCAGACTTTAAGGGAGAACTCGCTATATGCTAAGTTTAGCAAGTGCGAATTTTGGCTCAGTCGAGTAGCATTTCTCGGTCATGTGATCTCCGGAGAAGGAATTTCAGTAGATCCATCGAAAATTGAAGCGGTAATGAAATGGCCTAGACCGACGACAGTAACAGAAGTTCGGAGCTTCCTGGGTTTGGCTGGATATTACCGTCGCTTCGTAGAAGGATTTTCAGCAATAGCAACGCCGTTGACCCATTTATTGAAAAAGGAAACGAGATTTGAATGGACAGATAAATGTGAAAGGAGTTTTCAGGAATTGAAGTATCGATTGACAACGACACCGGTGTTGACTATCCCATCAGGACCCGGAGGATATGAAATTTATAGCGATGCATCGCTGAAAGGATTGGGATGTGTACTCATGCAACATGGGCAAGTAGTGGCCTATGCGTCGAGGCAATTAAGACCGCATGAAATGAATTATCCGACGCATGACTTAGAATTAGCCGCAATTGTATTTGCTCTGAAGATTTGGCGACATTATTTATGCGGAGAGAAATTTCAAATTTATACAGACCATCAGAGCCTCAAGTATTTGTTTTCTCAGAAGGAGTTAAACATGAGGCAGCGTCGGTGGATGGAGTTGTTGAAGGATTATGATTGTGAAATTCTATATCATCCCGGGAAGGCTAACCGGGTAGCCGATGCTTTGAGTCGGAAGTCGAGCATAGCCCATTTGATGATTAAGGAGTGGACACTGTTGGAAAAAGTGCGAGACTCGGAGTTCAGATTTGAAGTAAGTCAATTCTCGAGCTTGTTGGCTAAGCTTAGGATTGAACCAGAAATCCAGGCCAAAATTAAAATGTTGCAATCTTCGGATCAGGAAATTCAAAAGATGTTAGAGATGGAGGAGGCCAAGAGAAAGCCAGATTTTCAAGTATCTGAAGATGGGGTATTAAAGTTTCGTGGACGTTTATGTGTGCCTGACGATGCGGAGCTTAAGGAAGAAATTTTATCAGAAGCGCATCGTAGCAGTTATAGTATCCATCCAGGTAGTACTAAGATGTATCGAAATTTAAGACAATATTACTGGTGGAACGGTATGAAGGGAGATATAGCCAGATATGTAGCCAAATGTCTGACGTGCCAACAGGTGAAGGCACAACATTGTAAGCCCGGGGGATTGTTGCGACCCTTGGAAATTCCAGAATGGAAGTGGGAGCACGTAACTATGGATTTTGTGACGGGGTTGCCAAGAAGCCAAAGAGGCCATGACACTATTTGGGTGATTGTCGACAGACTGACCAAGTCGGCACACTTTTTGGCTGTGCGAAAGGATTTCGCATTAGAACGGTATGCTGAGTTGTACGTGCAACAGATAGTTCGTCTACATGGGGTACTAGTGTCGATAACCTCAGATCGTGATCCTAGGTTTACCGCCAGTTTTTGGAAAAGTCTGCAGACGGCATTAGGATCCAAGTTACAATTCAGTACAGCTTACCATCCTCAGACAGATGGCCAGTCTGAGAGGACGATACAGACTCTAGAGGATATGCTCAGGGCATGTGTGCTGGATTTTCAGGGTAAATGGAAAGAGCAACTGCCCTTAGTAGAGTTTGCTTATAATAATAGTTTCCAGCAGAGTATTGGTATGGCGCCTTTTGAAGCACTATATGGCAGGGCTTGTAGAACGCCGATGTGTTGGGACGAAGTGGGAGAAAGGACTATAATCGGGCCAGAGTTAGTGGAGCAGTCGATTGAGGCGGTTAAGATTATACGCGAAAGGCTGAAGACAGCACAGAGCCATCAAAAGAGTTATGCAGACAGAAGGCTAAGACCTTTGGAATTTCAAGTAGGGGATCACGTGTTTCTTAAGGTATCGCCCATGAGAGGGTTATCCAGGTTCGGTAAGAAGGGCAAGTTGAGTCCAAGGTACGTGGGACCTTTTGAGGTTTTGGAAAGGATTGGAGATTTAGCATATCGTCTTGCACTTCCACCGAATTTATCGCATGTGCATAATGTGTTTAACGTATCAATGTTGAGGAAATATGAACCGGACCCGACTCATGTGCTGAATTATGAGGAGATAGCAGTTGACGATAAGGTGTCTTATGTAGAGAGACCAGTAAGGATTGAAGATCGGAAAGAGCGGGTTCTCAGGAACAAGACAATCCCGATGGTCAAGGTTATTTGGGAACACCACGGGACAGAAGGCGTGACATGGGAAAGTGAAGAGATGATGCAACGTCAGCACCCCCAGTTATTTGAGCAGTAGCAGGATTTGAAATTTCAGGTAGTGGTGAGATTTGTAAATTTCGAGGACGAAATTTTTGTAAGGGGGGAAGAGTTGTGACATCCTGAAAATTAGTCCATTTGGGATTTATAAAATACTGAGTTTTATGAATGTACTTGTAGTTAGTTATCACCCGGAACTGATTATTCCTGGGATACTAACCATTAGGGAAAGGCTAATTAGGGATGCAAATTCGTGCGACTAAAGAAAATTCGATCCTGGATTGACTTTCGACCATGAAATCGTCGAGGTGATATTTTGAGCCACTGTTGGTCGATCCAAGGATAGTCAGGGGTCGGTTCGCCACTGTCATAGTAGTGGATTGCGGGTGATTCCGCCGGACCGCGAAATGACCTGACGAATGATCCTGAACCTATACCAAACGATCGTGCCCCTCGGATCTAGTAATTGATCATCGCGATTTTAATGATAATCGAGGTCGTCACGAATCGAATGAACTTGTACGTGACCTGAATAATTGTCAGTCACGGGTCGAATATGCGAATTTCCCCAACAAGCCGCCCGTTAGTTTGAGAAATGCTTGAGTTGCGTTAAATAAAATTTGATTATTTAATTGACCCCAAATTGGACATCGGAAAAATTTGGAAGTCACAACGGGGCGTTAGGACGACGTTGCGGATGGAACGTGTAATTTTGGAATGTCCCGAATCCTTCAGAAAAATTCAATTTCGATGAGAAATGAAGAAAGTAACCATTTTGCCCCTAAGGACTTATAAAGGGTTAGTCATATTGGGCAAGGGCATTTTGGTCATTTTGCCCTAACTTTTTGGATTGGACAATTTTGCCCTTGGAATTTTATGAAATTCCTAAAATACCCTTGGATATTTTTGGTAAGATTCGATCTCGGCCGTCGGTTTCTAGATAGGATCGAATTTGGGCCGTTGATAAAAAAGATTAGACAAGGGCAAGATCGTCATTTCTCCCTTTTGGTCAAAATGGACTATTTAGGTCCAAGCTTATCTCTCTCTCTCCTCTCTCCCCTCATTCGGTTTCCCCCCCCCCCCACCGTGAGCATCCCCCCTCTCCGGCCATCTCTCTCTCCCTCCCGCCGTGCCGCGCCGCCGCGCCGTTCACCGCGCCACGCCACCGTCCGTACGCCCGCCGGTCACCTCCGCCGTACCACGCCGCCGAGCCGTCCCCGATCCTTATGCCGTTCTATCTCCCTCCCGATTCTCTCTCTGGCCGTGAGCTGGTCGGCCAAGGAAGGCCGCCGCCGCTCGCCGTCCACCGTGCTAAGCCGTTCGCCGCCGTTCCCCGATTGATTTGCCGCCGCTTTCCGTTCTAGCCGCTTTAGCCTAGAACTCGGTAAGTCGCGCCCTAAACCCGACTTAGGATATTGGGTATCGACGGGTAATTGTGGTGGAAATCGGGTTTAGTTGGGTACGGAATTGCACGGATTAGGTGTATAACCAATTAGCGGGCCTAGGATTGATTTCGGAAAATTTTTAATGGAAATTTCAAGGACAACAGTGGGCTGTGAGTGATTGTTCAGTGTGCTGTGATGGGCCGATCGGGACGCAACTTGGATTTTTAGAACCGGTAATTAATTGTGAGAAAGTGCCGTGAAGGGTCGGAATTGACTTGACGCCATTTGGGTGGAGAAAAATGGCAGATTGTACGCTTATTGTGTGTTTGAACTGCGATTGAATTGTGAGGATGAAATTGAGTGCGTGGTTGTGTAATTACATGATTGAACATGCCTGTCGGGTGCACGCTTGGGTCAGATTAATTTAATTGTTAAAATTGGCTGTGTAAAATGCTGAGTGAGCTTGAATTGTGTGTGAATTGATGCGTGCACGGGCCACGTGTGATTGGCCAGTTGAGTGTGGTAAATGCTTGTTGAACATGTGTATGAGTGAGAAAGTGGATGTGGTATGACCTGTATTCGTGGAAATTGTGCCGTCCTGAGGTGTGTTCGTTTACGCGGGACGATGCCCGATATTACCGGAAGACTGCCAGCCTGAGGCATGTACTTCAACGCGGGTTGCGCAGTAGGTGGTAGATGTTGAGCCTGAGGCGTGTACTTCAACGCGGGCAAGAAACATGGCCTGAGGCGTGTACGTTTACGTGGGCCCGGAAGTGTTGTGGAAAGAGGTCGCAGTGTACCTGAGGCGTGTACGGTAACGCGGGTCACTGGCGAGGCATGTGGGAAAAGAGATAATGAGAACGGAATGAGTGCATGACATGAGAATTGTGCATGCTTGTGATTGTAATGATGTGCCTGTTATGTGATAATGGTATGTGTGTGATTGTATTTTGTGTGATTATCTGGAGGTACGTGGTAGCCTAGGTGGGGTTTAGGGGTGTACTTACTGAGATGTAGTCTCACGGTTATTTTAACCAATAATTTTCAGAACCCCGACCTGAGCCATGAATCTACCGCCACCGCCACCAGAGCGTTTTGGGGGTACCAGTGCACACCGTGTTTGAGGTTGCAGAATTTCCTATGGGTGATGGATTGACCTGGATTAAGCATACCACAATGGTTTTCGTAGAAGTAGGACTACCTCTTTGGGATTCCCGTGTTTATACTGCTTGGTTCTTTCGGGATCAGGCAAGGGATGAGTTCGGGCCTGTCAGGGGTTTTGATGTTCCATTTGACTTAGTTGGAGATTGGGACCCATCTGCCATACCCCCTATAGATGGAGAGTTGACCAGTGTGGAGACTAGTTTAGCTCAGTCTGGGTTGCACCCAGCATCCGCAGCACAAGGATCTTCAAAGGCGGAGCATGAACCCGAGCCCGAAGCATCGCAAGCGGAAGATGACTCGATGGACATAGACTTATAACCAATCCCCGAAGAGGAATCAGAGAAAGAGGAACCAGAGGAAGTGGAGCCCGAGATAGAATCTGAGAACGAGCCTAGCGTGTCTGAGCAGCTTGAGGACGAACCGGAGTATATACTCCCAAATGAGCGATATATGGATCCCAATTTCGTGCCTGAGTACAATTTCTTCGATGTACTAGCTGAGGAGTATCAGAATGAAGTTCCAGCTGAGTCGGGTGACATCAATCACCCGATTGAGATTGAGGCGGAGCCAGAGTCTTCGGAGGAGCAAGCCGATCAGGGAAGTTCAGATTTAGAGGAGGATGAGTCAGACTCAGAATGGACGCCGAGTAAGAGGCGTAGGGGCTAGCATTAGGGGTTCAGAATGATAGATTTTTGGAGAGTACCATTTTTGAGGTCAAAATGCCAGGTCATCGATCTTTTTGTGTATCGGTGATTTTAGATACGGTGTGCAAGTGTTCCTGGTGGTTGTAAACTGTAAATGTTTTATAAGTATGAGAAATGAAAGTGTGTATATTCTGCCTGACTTTCCCAGTTTCATTTTGTCCGGGTTGATTATGGTTTCTGCTGTGGAATTTAATCTCTGATGATATTATTCAAGGTCAGTGATACCCTGGGATGTCACATAAATCGACCAGTAGAGGGTGTCGTGCTCTGGATAGGGTTCGGGGCTTGACAAGGGGTATTTTTGTCTAGGAACTTTTTTTACTCTTTCTTTCTTCTTTTATTTCTTTTCTCTCTTTTTCTTCCTTTCTCTTTCTTCTCTTCTCTTCTCTTGTCTTCATCATCCTCATGCCTCCGTCTTCTTCCCTCTGCAGATTGCCTTCTCTAGAGTCCATCTCTATATCCCCGCCGACCTTTCCATTCTCGTCCGCCACCGTCCTCAATAGCAATTTCAGTTTCCTTCGTCGAAAGACGGAGGTAGATTCGAGCCCCAGATCGAGCACGAGCGAGCCAAGATGTGACGCTCTGCTCGATTTGACCCTCACACTCTCATGGTCGCGGTCGAGCACGACAAGGTGTAAGCCATTAGCTCACTGTCCTCGTCCTCATCAATGCTCGAATTCAGATTCGTCGCCACGCAGCTCTAATCTGATCGGTCTTAGGGAAGAGAAGCCGGATTGAAGTCCCTAAGCCAGTTTTTTTGTGAAATCTCTACTATCCTCATGGGCACCGATTCGTTCAGTGAAATGCGCGATTTTGGGGATTTCTGAGCGATTTTGCATTTTTTTTGTCTTGTTCTTCTTTCTCGAATCTATGCAAATAATATTTCGGAGTTAGAGAGGCAAATTTGTTTGTACATGCATAGAACCAGAGTCATCCGTTGTTTAGATTGAGTGCTCTCGGTGTTTTAACTCGAATGCTACTGGCGGTGAATATCTTCAATCCCCAAATAACTAGAGTCATCTGTTTTAGACTAAGTTCTACACAATTGGACCCTCTCGAGAAGCCACATATTCTGCCTCAATTCAAACTGTGTCTACGAATGTTATGAATCATCCGACCCAGAGCCAACAGAACATTCCCAAGAAACTGTGAGTGAAAGTTGTGACATCCTAAAATTTATTTGCTACGAGAATGCGTGTTGAGACCCTACCTAGGTGAAATTTGAGAGAGTTTAACAGATTACTAGGCAGGCGCAAATAACTCTCTTCTGAGGTGGCACTTGCGGTTTGCATGGCTCTCCCAAGTCTTGTCAATTGTCACTTTGTTTCTCATTCATTGTTTGATCAAATTCATATTAGAATTGCTACTAACTTATTCTGGGCGGGTTACGAGCCAAGTAAGGCGTTTTGCGAACCAAAGATTTTGGGAAGTTTAAAATAGAGCCTAGTTATAAAAACTCGGGAGAAGACCCTATGAGCTATGCATAAAAATTAAGCATGTTTTAATCTAATTAAGAAACTCAATTGATCTATGTGATGAGAGCTAAAGGATTGTTATGTGGTCTGCATACAAATGTGTTTTAAAAATTAAACATTGAAAGCTCATAAGCCTTTTCAAACATTGGTTATATCGAACTGGTTGGACATATATGGTGCACTAATTAATACACATTTTTCGAGCCGAAAAAATCTGGATGGGAACACGAGTCGTGGCTTTTTTTGTGCAATTCATATTCTGTCGTTACTATATATCGATAGCAAGTTAATTACCAAGAATGAAAGCATGTACCTATAAGTATATATCATGGTGAAGAAGTGGTCTCCTTGCAAATGCTAATCGTACTTGAGTGTCAGCCTTCAATTCAAGAAGACTAAAGTAGAGAAGATGATGCAAGCTCATGTGTGGCTATGGCCTGCGTAATTGTTTAGATGCAATCGTACATTGTTTCGCGATTTCCATCACGAGATGTTTGTAATGGATGTGTGATTATATATGTTTGAGCTGAGAAATGTGAAGTGAAATGGGCATTGGATTTGCCCTTTTCTTCCCTTCAAAAATGTCCTCTAGAGGATCGAGTAAATTTTCCCCTCTCTTGGCGGCAATGGGGGCGGCGATGTATCCGTCCGAGCCCGGGGGAGGAATTGGACCATGGTCATTTTGGGGAGTCTCTCTCACTCTTGGATGATGGCGGGCGGCGAAACGGTCGCTTGAGGGAGACTGGACCTTTGTCATTCTTGATCGTGCCGCTCGGCCTTTTCGACAGCCTCTCTTTCTCTCTCTCTCTCAAGTATCTTTTAAATTTTATTGTTTCGGGAAAAATTTCACGATAAAAGAAAACACTTTCTAGAAAATCATTTTTCAGAAAAATGTATTTCCCAAATTGAGAAATTCATTTTCTATATATTTTCTTTAATCATAAATGATTTTTTTATTCAAAAGGTAATTTTATTTTTGACCGTAAATGATTTGAAGTCCAACCAATCATTTTCAGTACGAGAAAGTTCAAAAAATAAGCTGGTAATTCTTTCCTCATCATCCTTATGAGCAAATAAAATGCCTAATTCCAAAAAAAACATCACTTTACCTTGAGTGATCATTTTGATATGAACTTTTTTTTATCTCATAAAAAATCACAAACTTTCACTTAAATTCCAAATCTGATTCAAACAAAATAAAAATTCCACATCATGGGATCAGATTTGGGATTAGAATAAAAGTTGTTTTTTATGAAGATAAAAAAAAAGTTCGGGCCATAAAAGGTTGGTGCTTTATTTTTTCGGAAATAGCCCTAAAATAAAAAGAAAAATTTCTTTCTTTTGGGAAAAAAGAAGAGAAATTCACTCTTGACACGTAAAAATTATTTTCTCGTCAGCAAAAGCGTCATAATTATTTCGAAGCGATATAGAACGGCCGCATTTCTGGAAAAATCACGTACGGCGAAAAGTTCATCCCGTCGTCCGAACAGATCTCGTCTTCAATGCTCGCACAACGCAGAAGAAGAAGAAGAAGAAGAAGAAGACACAAAGCAAATCGATTCTTGAAGAAATCGATTCTTGAAGAATGGAGAAGCAAAGATTAAATAGATCGATAGACGATCAAAATTCAAATTCATGTATGGGAAAGCTACTAGTAAACGCCCGAAGCGAGAGCAGAGCAGGCGTCATCAGCGAAGCCCCCAGAAGGCACTTTCATCTGGGCCTCCCATGAATCAGGCGAGCACGGGGGAAGAAGAAAACACACCAGCCCCCCCTCAATCTCGCCTGGGATTAATGGAGGCCGCTTTCGAAGAAGAAGAAGAAGAAGAAGAAGAAGAAGGGAGGAAGGAAGGAAGGAGGGATGACGGATTCCATGGAGTTACGTGGAATTCACCTTCGAGCTGCTGCTGCTGCGATCGACGCAGGGGCTGTTCTGGGTCGGCCGTGTGGCGACTTTTATAGCCGGCTTCAAGAACGCGAAACCCTAATGATCCTCGCTTGAAGTTGTCGTCTTTTGATGTTTAGGTCCCTGTGTTTATGCGTATTTCAAGATTCCGACCCCGCAGCTACTTTCCTTATATTATTTTTCAATTGAGCCACTACTAGAGGTGGCAAAATTAGGGGTGTGCATGGTCCGAGTGGGCGGTTCCCACCCTAAAATCGGGAACCGTCCACTAAGGACCGGGAATCGCCTATTGATTCCATGGATCCACCCGGGAATCGGATCGCTGGTCTGGTCCGGTTTCCGGGTGGGTCCATGGAACCGGTCCTACCAAGCTTCACATGTTGGTATTGTAATATGCAACAAAGAATTACGCAATGGGAAGAAATGATTCTGGAATAATTAAAATTATACATCACCAATATGTTCATACTACTATGGTTTTTATCGATTTGGGGTGATTGATGCGGTGCAGCATCATTTATGTGGTATTGAACAGTATAGATATTAAAGTGAACATGAAGATTTGAAAGACCTGTGGATAAATAAAGTTAAAACGAGAAAAGAGAGAGATGGACAGTCCCTTACCATTCTGTCAAAGCTTTTCTATATGTTATTATCCCACCTTCGCCAATTACCATCAAGAAAGCATGGGCTTTTGCTTAGTCTGGGCATCGACTGATAAGAGTGAGAGAGTGAGAGTATTGAGCGAGTTTCACATTTAGGGATTTAAGATTTTTCTTTCTTTTTTTTTTAAATTAAAAATTAAAAATAATATATAATATATAATATTATATTACCGGTCCGGTCCGGGTGCGTGGGCGGGCGGTTCCACACCTAGAACCGAGAACCGGACCGGTACCCACCGGTTCCAATAATTTGAAACCGGGAATTGAACCGGTTCCCTTAGGAACCACCGGTTCTGGGCCGGTCCGGGCGGTTCCCGGTTCTTTTGCACACCCCTAGGTAAAATGGGTTAAGAACCCATATTTTAATATATATTTAATTTTATGGATCATAAATGAGTGGACTTTAGTTTTAAAGATAATCTTAAATAGGTCATCAATGGATTACTTAGTAACTTAATAGATTTTAAATGGGTCTTAAATGAGTCATAAATGGGTTGGCTTTAGTTTTAAAGATAAGATCAAGTGAACCATAAACATGTCATTTTTAATTTTTTTAATTTCTTGATTC